AGAGCAGGGGGTCAGGTAGGGAGCACAGAGTAGGGAGTCAAAAGATGAGGCAGAAGAAGAGGATTGAAGTAGCACTTTGGCAGGGTGCAGAGCTAATTTGGCTATGCCTAAAAAAGCTGGCACCCACTGGGTTAGTGAACCCTTTATATCAGTGATTCTCAACCAGTGTTAGCACTGTTGGGTGTGCAGACATGATTCACAAGATAAACTCAGAGATTTCAAGCAGGAATCCATCATGTCAAAAACATTCTGACCTGTTGTGGTTTCTTTGAGTTGTTTGCAACAGAAGAACAGCTCTATTATTTTTCTCCAGTCAAAAAAACAAATGAAAGGTAAAAGCTGATGCTATCCCAGGGGTGCCCTGGGTCTGTTGAGGGATGTCTTGAGTCTAAAAGGGTTGAGAACCACTGCTCCAAATACAGAGATTACGATACAAGAACAATATAGTAACAAAACTGCAAATAGCATAGTCACAGTAGTATTAAACATTTCCATTTAGTGACAGAAGGATACCAAGATTTAAAGGTAAAGTGGAATTCTTTAAGAGTTCCAAATCAGTAAGATATTATGAGTTAATTTACATCACTGATTTAAATGGGAGTATGAATTAAATTAAGAATTCAGGATGGGAATTTTTTATGTTCTAGTTTTCAAGTCCCTGAATATTTGGAGGCATGCATTGGCTCCATTTTCTAATATTAGCATCAGTTAATGAGGCACAATTAAAACTCCTGGGTAAATGTATTAAAATTAACACAGGTGATAGGAAATCATATGATGGAAGTTTCTTGAGAGGCTTTTTTTAATTTTAACCAAACAAGATGGTTTATTAAAATTTGATATTTTGTCTCTTATTTGGAACTAGTCTGATTATGCAGGGAGGGAAAAGACGAGGGCGGAAAGAATATTCTTTTGTGCACAGGTGGAAAGGGAGAGAAGAGGCAGGGCAGATAGCTTAAAAGGTATGAGGAGTAGGTGAGTTCATGGCTTTGTCCCTGGCAAAGCTGGCTTGGTTACAGATAAGTGAACAAGCTGCACTGCCCAAGAGGATGAAACAGTGTATGCACCCACCTGTTGTTTGAAGCATTGAGAAACAGACTTTCTTGAAGCACCTCTTGAGTCAGTGGACTAGTTGTCTACTCAGAGAAAATACCTCATCTACTCGGGTAAATGCCACAATCTAATACTTGCTTGCTGGTTCAGAGACATTGATGGCCTGTCACACATTCTTCATTTTTAAAGTTGCTGGACTAGTGAAAGATTGAGATATGATTTAGTTTTACAATATCTGGCACTTGTTCCTGTACTGTCATTCCACTTAAAATGTAAGTCAAGAAACTGACAGTTCAGATAATATAAGAGGCAGATTATTGCAGTACATCGTGTAGCTTTTTTTATACACAGTGTTTCAGTGCAGTATTCTCAAGAGGAGGTGAAAGAATGCTGTGTCTCCTTCTGTGGGTGTGAAGAACCTGGGCACTGTGGAAATAATGTGATTATTTTGCTTAGTGTGTAGATAAAAAAAAAAAAAAAGAGCCCCTACATGGTTTTTGTAACCAGTACACAAAAGAACCTTGGACCTGGGGAAACTTCAGAGCAACCTGATTCATGGGAAATGTGTCTGTTGGTCAGAGCAAAGGGGAGAGAATCGGCCAGGTGGGAGAAACACCCGCCGTCTGTGGAATTTGACAGTTCCGGCCTGGTTTTTGGCTGTTGGAGAGACCTAGAATGCGGCATAAGGAATATTAGTACACCATAATCAGCAAGAGTCTAAGATTGACTGTTATTAGAATGCTAATTATATAATCAGCTCATGTAATTAGGAAATACTCTGTGTTCTCTCAGGTTCCTGTGGGATTCAGTAGAGTTACTAACTGATATGCTTCGTGGGTATGATATATGGTAGTGATGGTATGTGACAGTGTGGTGCTATTAGAATGCTGTATTTAAACCCCCTACTAATGTTTAACATTTAAAAGATTTAGGTTGAGATACTAATCTGCCCCTAAGACTTCCAGGTGGCATTTCAGGCTATGAAATAACCAAGTCATTAACAGAGATCCTATTACAAATTCCTCAGCAGCCACAAAACCACTAATGATGTTTAGAGTCCTTATATGTCACAATGTTGGCTTGGAAAGATCCCAAAAGAGCTAGAATAGCTTTGCCCTACTGAATATACTCAGAAGTGCTCCAGAACAGTCGCCTAGACCTCTTTCTCCACCTAAGCTTTGTGCTACAGCTCAGGTCCATGCAGAAGCACGTATGTTCTGTCTAAGTCTCTGATTACGTAGATGGAGAAAAAACATGCTGAACACTTGCCTTAAAGGGAGAGATTCCTCGGCTCATTTTATTCATTGATTATTTGGTACAAAAGGCATTAAATGCATTTGGGAGCAGCACCCTGGAATTTCTTTCTATCTAGTCCCCCCCTTCCATACATTCTCTCTGGCCCCATGGTCCTTGCATTCTTGTCCACACATTAGCCCAGCTTCAACAGGTGAAACAGAGGGTATACTTAGTCATGCCTAGCATCCTGACAAGTGGGAAATGTGAGTTGTGGGTCCCTTCTGGCTTAGTGGGGTTTAGAGCTTAGGTCTTTCACTTCCTTGGCAAGTACTTTAATCCCTAGGCCAGTGGCTGGTAACGTTTTCTGGCAATGAGCAGTAATGGGCTAGAATGACCCAGTGTTGGTCCAGGGCAGGCTGGACCTGACCACTGCCACTTCTGTTCCTTGGCCCCCACTTGGGCAAAGCCCTCTAGCTCTGTGGGCTGGATCCAGTGGCTCTGGGGATTGGATCCAGTTCATGGGCCATAGGTTGCTGACCCCTGCCCAAAGCTATTGGGTAAGAGGTGAGTGTGTGATTCCTCTTCTTCACTTTACTTCACACACTGAAGTCAAGCTAAGAATAGACTTGGTGCCTGTGTTCCTCGCAGAATAGAAAAGTCCCAGGATTGGCACATGCACACATCACCCTTCCAGTCAGGGTACTGTGAGACTCCCTCAGGTGTGCCCTAATGCAGGCGTCTTGATGGCAGTGGTCAGGTAAAGCTGCCCCTGTGCAGACCTGTAACACGCACCTTCGTTAAGGAGAGCTGGCTGAGGCTGCAGCTCTTCCTGGTCCTACCATGTGCCTGTTTCCTGGAAGTGCTGTTCAGGGTCAGACTGGGAAGGGCTTATCCTCCTGCCTATTTTAGGCTAATCAGAGCCCTAATGCAGGAGATGTCTACATATGTCACAGCCCTTCCCAGTCTGGCTGTGCAGCAGGCACTCAGGGCAGTTTTACTTGGGGGCAGCAAAACCTGGGTTGAGAAGCACTGCGGTAAGTTGAGCATAGTTCTCAACTGAAGGTGCCACCACATTCAGAAAAGTTGTGAGGGGTGTTGGGACTCGAAAAAACATTGAGAACCAGTGGTTTAGTGAGTGGCTGAATGCAGTGCCACTTTTCTGCCATTGAGTCAACAGTGCAATCCTGAGACAACTGTTCAGACGTGTTTTGCATTGTCCAGGGACAAAATGTTAACACTTGTTATCCTGTAAACCTTTTTAGCATTTGCCCTGGGACAACAGATATGGATGTCTGAACAATTGAGCTCCTGGGATAAAATGGTTTCTTATTGCATTTCCCCGGGTCTGTTTGTAGTCTTAGTGCTGTTCCCTATCAAATCGTCGCACTGATTCAAATAGATGTCTCCCTTGAGCTGAATGCAAGCAGAGCATCTCTCCTTTGAATGAACTTCCAGTGTGATAGAAATGTACAAGGCTGTCCATTGAGAGACAGGGAGAGCTATGTTTCCTACTGAGTGGAATAAAATTGCCCTCTGGGGTTGCATTAGGCTTTCCATTACCCGAAGGGGAGAGCTATATGTCTCCCCAGGGTAGAATGGAATTGACTTCTGGGAATATTTACTTAGTTGCCCATTGAGAGAATGGAGATGCTGTCCATCTCCCTCAGTGGAATAGGAATGTACTTCAGAAAGTGAGATGTGCTCTCTTTGGACTAGTATTAGTAAAGTTATCTTAGAGCAGGGGTGGGCAAAATAAGGCCTGTGGGCTGGATCTGGCCCACCAATAGATTCTGTCTGGCTTGCTGGTGGATGGCCACTACCTCCTTGGATCTGGCCCACGGACAGCCAGTAGCTCCAGCTGCCACACGGTGCCAGGCACGTGGGACTGCGTCTGCCCAGCAGCATCAACCCTTGACGCGGTGGCATCAGCTGTGGGCCCAGGTGGGTCTCCGCCACAGCGGATGGGTGGGCAGCGGCACCAGCTCTGGCTGCAGCTGGCAGGTTCAAGAGCTCTGAAGAAGAACCTGCTGGTGGCATCCACAGCTGATGCTGATCCACTCCCAACACAGTGGAAGCTCCCTTGCAGAGCTCTGCTCCCGGACCCTGTTGGCAGTGTCAGCTGTGGACCCAGTCAGGAGCTTCTGCTGCAGCGGGTGGGGACACCACCAGCAGGTTCCACGTCAGGAAGCTGTTTGCTGCACCCACAGCTGACACTGCCGCCCAATGCGGTGGAAATCCCCTTCTGGGTCCATAGCTGAGCTTTGGGGCTCCTGGCAAACTACAGCTCATCTGGGTTCTGGAGGGAGGGAGGGGGTTTGGGTTTGGG